TGTGGACCGAGTTCACCTGCAGGACGCCATGACTACAAAGCCGCCATAGAAGGCATCCCAAATAATGTGCCCATTAATTGAGTTGTTCTGAAAACTAATAAAACCAAACATGTGCCACTACCCGAATGACGTTCATAAAAAGTCAACCTTCAAAGTACTTTATAAAATTCGAAACTACTTCAAAATATGAGAATCAATTTAACAACTTGAAAGATTCAAACATACAATTCAACAGACTAAAATCAAGTGTCCACGATAAATATTCAAGAGTTTACGATAAAGATTCAAGAGTTTATATATATATATATATATATATACGTAATTTATTGACCACTTTTAAGCGATCAATCACATAGTGGTAAATCACCATTACAAAGGGTCAACTACAACAACTAGTTGCCCAAGAGTCAAAGAAAGTGAAATCCGTATCTTAAGCGGAATAGAGAAGTAAACACGATCAAACGAGATTCACCATAAAGTTCGACTTGGTCGCGTGCCTAACGAATGCACAAATCGGTTATTACTTAAACGATGTAAAATCATATCCTAATTCTACTAATAAATTACTTAGGTCCTACATGTTTATAAACAACTTGAACTTCAAATACGATAGCCAAATATGTATTACAAAATCAACGCAACACTTAGCTTTATAATTCTGATTCGACTTTTTACAGCTTTTGACCCTTATTTTCGGGAGTATTTTTACCCCACTTAGAGATCAGTAAAGAAAATACTATCTAAATGAAAGATGTAGTATGATATGCGATGAAACTACTGGTTTTTGAATCACCTCATTTGGATTATCCATCTATTTTATACGAAAATTACAAAACAGCAGATCAATCCAAAATACAGTGCAAACAGCCCCGAAAACACACTGTTTCGAGCCACTAAGAGTCATATCTGGATTTTCGATCCTACATGAAAGTTGTATGCATTAAGGGCTTTCTAATTACAAAATAGGAGCTTATTCTGACTTATGGTTTGTAAGTTATACACTGTCAAAGTATGGACTTACATAGTCGGTAAAATCCGATTCCGCAATTCCCGACTAACTTTTATAATCCAAATTCCATGATTCGCTACATTTATGTGCTATAAACATGTTTCAACATACTAAACAGTAAAACAAATCCAATGGTCGCTAACCTAAGCTTAATCATGCAATTTTACTCTTTTCGGCATTTTACCGAACAATTGGTGTGCGGTTAAACATATACACTAAATCTAACCACAATGAAACCATAATCTAACTTTTTAATTTCTACATCAATTTAACCAATCCTAGCATTCTAAACATGAAATATATCATACTTATAACAATATCCATCCGTAAACTTATACATAACATAATTTATAAACCAGTCTAAAAAATGTTAACGTAAACACCCTAATAAAAGCGAATGAAATTTATACCTTTATGAAAGGTTCGAAGAGTGGATTCCAAATATATAATCATTACTTCAATTGCTTCAAGGATTTGATAAATATTTTAGAGAGAAGAAAAATTGAGAGAGAGAAAGATGAGGCGGTTCAGATGAAGAAGATAAGAAGAAACAGTGATGGTTTTGTTTTTTTCTTTAATTTATATATATCTATATATATATATATAGGGAAGATAAAATGTTAACCAACAATTTTGTGTTAACTTTGAAAACCCTCTCAACCAATCAAATTTCTTCATTATTGTAGGTTGATGTCTTGTTCACTTTTTACTTCCAAGGATATTTTAGTAATTTGATTACATATGTAACCCCCAAACAATTAATGGAGGGTTACAAAAAAATCATATCCCAACAAATAATCATTCATTTAATTAATATCTTTATTTTTAGTATTCATCTTCCATGTTCATTATTGTATAAGTTTTAAATCGCATAAGAAACACGGTAGTAATGATATTCGGCGTCGATCAAGCTAATATGGATAAACGTAAAGGAAAAGAAATCGACAACACCGCGGAGATTATAATGGTTTATGAAGACAATCCGAGTTCGAGGTCGGGAAGTCATGAAATCAACCAAACCGAATGTCTTGGTAATAGATTTTTATTTTTTTAGATTCATATTGATCGAAAGTATGTTCATTACGATGTGTTGTGTTTTTTATAGTTTATCTCATATTATTTCTATGATATTCTATCACCATGGTGCATTTTCATCTCACGTATAAAAATCATTAACTACGAGTGGTCAACTAATTATAAAATGCATTTATGTTCATATCTTGTTCACGTAAAGGAAAAAAAATCAACAACACCGCGGAGATTACAATGGTTTATGAAGACAATCCGAGTTCGAGGTCGGGAAGTCATGAAATCAACCAAACCAAATGTCTTGGTAATAGATTTTTATTTTTTTAGATTCATATTGATCGAAAGTATGTTTCATTACGATGTGTTGTGTTTTTTATAGTCCATCTCATATTATTCCTATGATATTCTCTCACCATGGTGAATTTTCATCTCACGTATAAAAATCGTTAACTACGAGTGGTCAACTAATTATAAAATGCAAAATAATAATATGATTTTGGTTAAATAAATATTCATAGGCAAAGGCTTGAAGTTAAAGAGGTGGATGGTAACGCTTATCAACCCATTGGCCACATAATGTTTTGAATATATGAAAACGGTGGTTGTTCTTTTGTTTAGGTTTGCATGCGCATTTGACAATGATATTATTATGATTGAGTCCCTTTTCTCTAGCCAACACACACATAAATACCTTTATATTTGGTCCTTGTTCATGTTCATATATATATATATATGGTCCTTGTTCATATTCACATATATATGGTTATTGTTCATGTTTATATATATATATATATATATATATACACACGGTCCTTGTTCATGTTCACCATTCGTTCATTTGGTAATGTCAACATACATGTTTATATACATGGCTCTTGTTCATGTTCATCATTTGTTCCTGTTCATGTTCATGTTCATTCATTTGTCCGTGTACATGTGCATATACATATGGTTCCTGTTCATGTTTACCCTTCGTTCATGGTCTTTTTTTGAAAATTTTACATCAAATTTTTTTATTTGCGATTTTTTCATGGTGTGTTCCAAATGTTTGCAATTGTTCATATTATTGGGTGGTTAATAGCATCTCTTAATGTGTTTATATACGTCATACAATAACATCATTCCAAAAAATTTCATGACAATAGAGTATGTACATTTTAACATGTTATCCTGCTATTTTACGATAATCATCATCAGCGTACAATTGTTCACCTATGTGTGTTCATGTGAATATTTCGTTCATTTGTTGGTGTGTGCTCATGTTCATATTTCGTTCATTGAACAAGAGGTGAACACTGTTCATTGATGTTATAAGATATGATTGTATCAACAGGTGTTCCTATTCTTACAATATCAGAACATGAACCGGAGTACGCTATCGAGGAGTGTTCACAAGGAAATTAGTTTTTTATCCCCAAGGTTGATGACGAGCTTAAACCAAAGATCAACTCACACTTCTTAACTATAAATGACGCGGAAAAGATGTATAGGGCATACGCGGACAATGCTGGTTTTGATGTTCGTCTGCACGCCAAAAAAACAAACAAGAACGGAGACATACAAACAAGATGGTTTGTATGTAATAGGGAGGGAACAACAAACAAAAAGTTTTTTGATTCCATGGATATTCAGTTTGGTGAAAGGAGATACCGTAACACGAACCTTAAACGGTGTGGATGTAATACATGCATAAAAATCCATTTGAAAAAGGATAAGTCTGGTTACGAGATATATGAGTTTGTCGAGGCACATAATCATGCACTATTCAATACTAACGATCGACGTTTCTCAAGGAAAAATAGACAGATGAAGTATACGGATTTCAAAAATGTCCTGAATAGCTCGAGCTACAAAGTCGGTGCGATTAGGGCTCACCGTATACAAACGACATTGAATGGTAGGTTTGAGCATAATCGATATTCTGAGATCGACTTTAAGAATTTCAAGAGAGATGCAGTTGCGTGTGTTGGGAAAAAGGATGCGAAGATGTTGATCAATAAACTATCCAATAGGCGAGATATTGTTCCCGGTTATTTTTTCGAGTACAAGTGCAATGATCAGGAGTTGGGTGCCATTTTCTTGGCAGATGATGTCGCTAGAGTTAACTACAAAGAGTTTGGGGATGTAATTTCGTTCGACGGGACGTTTCACACCAACAAGTAAGATTTTCAAGTTCAATCAGTTTTTTTGATGTATGGTACTTGTTGGTATTTTTTTATAACTTTTATTTTACCTAATAGGCATGCGATGATTTTTGTTCCCTTTTTGGCGGTTGACAATCACAAAGCTTCGGTTATTGTCGGATCGGCGTTAATAAGTGGTGAGACAATTGAAAACTTTACATGGGTTCTAAGAGCTTTCCTAAAATGCCATGAGAAGCAACCAGTTTTTGTGATTACGGATCAATCTTCGGCGATGAAGCAAGCCGTCCCGTTGGTGTTTACGGAAGCTAAGCACCGACTATGTATGTGACACATCATGAAGAAAGTGCCTTCTAAGGTAAGTACACTTTAATAAACAACTCTATTTCATAAGTAAATGTCACTGTTCATAGGTTCATATTGTGATTGATACGTCCGCAGGTCAGTGTCGCCCTAAATCAAGATCCTCTGTTCAATAAGGTTATTAACAAGCTCGTGTGGAACATAAATATTGGCCCATCGGAATTCGAGACCAAGTGGCAAGAGATGACCGAGCAATACAATTTAGGTGGTGATCTGTGGTTCACAGAAATGTATGAAATCCGCGCATCATGGATTCCAGCGTATTATAAGGACACACCGATGTCTGGTCTTATGAAAATGACATCAAGATTCGAGAGTTCGAATTCGTGTATTAACATATACGAATCATACTGGTTTGATTTGGTTCAGTTCCTTAATAATTATGACGTTGCTATAGAGAAACAAAGGTACAAGCAAGCTGTGCATGAAACAATAACGAGGACAACGTATCTAAAGTTGTTTATTCCATTGCATTTAGAAAGTCAAGCATCAAGGGTATACAGTCGAAATGTGTTCTTTGACATCCAAAAGGAAATAAAGAAGGCTGTATGGTTTTGTCGTATAAAGACTGTCGAATGTCGGGGTGATCTCAAAATGTTCATTATAAGCCATAAGAACAAGAAATCGTTTGTCAACACCACGTATCTGGTACTATATTCCTTACATAGATACTAATGTCTTTTAAATTATTCGGTTTATATAAACTGTTGTTTATTCGGAACCTAATGTAACTATTATAGGTCTCTCGAAACTACCCAACCAACACGGTCGAATGCGAGTGCAATCTATTCACGCGTAACGGGTATCTGTGTCGTCATGCATTTAAGGTTCTAATAAACGAYGAAGTTGAAAGTATTCCGAACCAATACGTTTTATGTCGATGGAAACAAAATTTGGTCCCTGTTCAGATACAATCCGCTAGGGTTCGATACGGTGAGGTGGATGCGGAGAAGGGTAAGTCCATAATTGATGTATACTCCAAAGTCGACGACATTATAAGCATCGCCCGGAATGATAAATCGATACTGACTAGATTGGAGCAGACTCTCGACAATTTCATGGTTGATATCGAGAAAGAGGTACCGTATGAAGACCTATCCCAACAAAAGTTGGACGCGATCAGAGATCACCTTGGTGTTTCCATACCAGATGACGTGGACATTCTACCACCATCTGGAATAAGGAACAAGGGTTGTGGTACTGGTAAGAGGTTGGTAAGCATGTCTGAGAAAATACAGTCTGTAAGCAAGAAAACCCGTCGAAAATGTGCGACATGTGGCCAACGTACCGGACATGACTCACGTAATTGCCCCGAATTGATAGAGTAATCAGTTGTCCAAGTATTGGAAATATCATCGTTTCAGGGGTGCTTCATTGTTGTCAATCTTACATTTCGTCATGCGCCGATTTCGGTTTATGTTATCTTATGATTGACATACATCGTCTAGTTTTCGTTTTATTACAATTTATGGATGTCTTAGTCACTAGTTGTTATTTCCAAGACTAAGTAATAAAACCACCGTAAGTGTGGTGTTCATAATTACCGACAATATATGATTTGGTAAGTGTTTTCGTGAACAATATTGAACTTCATCCGATATTGTCATGTTTTTGTATTGTTGGGTATGATTCATATGTTGACGTTTCTTGTATTCGGAGGGTCTTGACAACAAAACTGTTGTCTTTTGGTTTTCAAGCTTTTGATTTGTTACAAAAATAAATGCCGAAGTTGATACTGCTTGACAGTAACTTGATTGCGGTTGACATTATCTAGGTTGTTATATCAGTCAATGACATATATATTTTGTATATTATTTGTATGATGTTCGTTCGTATTATTTATGCTAGTATGTGTGTTTGAAGTTATGATGTAGTGTTCAAGTAACCATGCCATTTACTGTTGATGGCTAACCATATTTGCCAACATCTTGTTGCTGATTTACTTGGATTAGATCGATCAAGTTATTCCAGATGTCCAGAAAATATACTAATCTTATGTGAGAATACCATTTACACCGTTTAGACCAAAAAACAGGCTGGTAATAACAATCAAACTACACAGCAAGAAAAACCATGCCATTAAGATGTGTGTGTGTGATTAGATCAAATGATATGCACCTTTTCGTTGTACACAATGTAAACAGGTTCCCATTGATGTTCATTCATGTTTATCATTTGTTTTTGTTCATGCCCAGCAATCATTCAACTGATAACGTCATAATTTGATATGCTTAATGAATTGTTAAGCATCATTCTAGTTCTTAATGTTTTACACTACGTACAGAATAATGAATGTCATACTACAATCTATAATGTGAAACAGTGTCAGGCGAGGTGCATTGTCACGATAACACAGTATAAATTTGTTGATATCAAACCGGTGCAAAATTAAACCTCAAAGAACATTTGATTAATCAAATACGGAGAATGTATGAACACAAATGACGTGCATTTATGTCTGAAAACATTACGGTACCACAAATATCCAAAAGGTAAGTGGTACGAAAAACCAGCTAACATAAATGTGTCAAGACAACATAAGCAAACATCTATTTCTTCCCCTGACTCATCAGTCGTGCACCACAATTTTTCCTAGCATTGTACGATGTCTCCATCGCAATGAACCTTTCTACATCAGATATGATAGATGTCTTACGGATGTTCTCATCGCTTAGTAGCATCTTCGAACAATATTTGGTCCTGAGAACCTTCAACTGTCTCTTTTGTTTCGTACCCTCCTTATATAACCCACATTCCCATTTCATTACGTCTCCTCCAAAGAATGTCTCCATGTGCCGCATTAACATAACACCAGCGTCTACGGTATTCTCTCGGAATTGCCACCGTGTCTTGATATGGTCCTGATCCATTTCAGCATACACTTTCCACGCCCCGTGCCCCTCTTTTAGTAGGTGCATTATCATCATATCTTGCTGCATACATGATAAAGAATGACAAAGGTAAATATATGTTCATATTGATCATAACAAAACGAAATTTTAAGTTGCTTTACCAAGCCTACAGTGCTCGAGCCATATATATCATCCACTTTTCCATCCCGATTCTGGCTGTCTAATATGGCTATTGATGGGTGCTTCAGATCGAATACTAGAACGTAATAGAACGACGGTTCTACAACCGAGAAGAAGACCTACAATTTTTAAAAGCCGTATCTAGTTGATCCCATTTGGATTAATGCTTAAATAGCATACGTATAGTTTTGATCGAAGTTAAAAGATTTACCAGATCAACGTTACGCATACTGATCAATTCTTTGTCATTGTTCATGCAACTCGTGATGTTCTTTCGGAATCTATCATACCTCTGGTTAACATTCAAATCTTCATCCATAATAATAGCATCCATCTGCAATTATTAACAAACGAATACGGTTAATTACAGACTACAAGTCATTTATATGGCAATTACATCGACATTCATTCATATACTATTACCGAAATGTCCGTTTATACAAAGTAGCGCCTAGGAGACTCATTGCTCCTCAACCTCTCCTCTCTGTTAAGAACCATCGACCACACGTCTATAATTTCTGTGCTAACCACGCTTTGAGATACAAGGGATTGCATTGTTTGACGTGTCACTGTCTTCCCTTTTGTTGTCATGAAAACCGGTTCACTACATGTTTAATTCGTTAGGTAGTAATTTCCAAATTGACAATAACACATATTTGTACAAAATAACCTTTAAAATTTGGAGAATTTAACTTACAGAGTTCCGCCTATGCCTCGTAATATCCAATCTTGCAGCTTCCTTTCGTCACTACTCACCTCAAACGTAACCGCACGTGTAACATATGGTGAACGTAGTTTAAAGCTCAGTTTCGTATCTCTTTTTGGCATTGTAGATATGACATTTTCTTGTCCACCTATTGCTTTCGAACTACCAACACAAGCAATGACCTCTTCCTTAGATGGACTTATTCCCAAATCGAAAGCTGGTGCATCGATATCTGCATACGAATCAATTACTTGGACGTTGTTACACGAATGATGGTAGCTACTGCATAAACTATATGTGCATGTCTATTCGTATACGTAATTGCGTACGCCCATGCAAATGGTGTTTATAAAATGGGTGTTATTTGTTTGATATATCACTACTATGTTCTTATATGATGTAGTGATGAACGGGGTGTGAAACACTTTGGTATATATGTGCACCCTTTCTTTGTATGTGAAACAATAGTGTGTATATGTGCGCTTAGATCACAGCATATACACCTTCTCATAAATCAACACCGTGAACAAGACAAGAACATAAATTAACAGTTGTTCATGTTTGTACTAAATGTGCATTCTTTTGCCCATATATACACAGCCATATACGCCCAACCAAATTAAGGTGGAAGCTGTTAATTTGTGTTCATATATGGCCGGACCAACATGAATATGGTGTATAAGATGAAATGGAAACATCAATTTTTGTTTATGTTTCTGTTTCTTTCTCTATGCGTGCATAAATCCATCATGATCATACCTACCACATAAACTCAATAAATTAAAAAAGAATTGTTATTATGAAGCCGTGTAAACATTCTTTTTGGCCCATATATTCACATCAACAGATGCCCCAAAAAATTAAGGTAGCAGATGTTACTTCGTGTTCATATATTGTCCAACGATGAACCAACGTCAACACGATGTTCTTATACGACATAGTGATGATCATTGTGTGAAAAACTTTGTTATTTATGTGATAAACATTGGAACAAGGTGAAGTTATTAACATACGAAAAAACCTGCATATCAAATACCTGTTTGTGCACGTCTACGCAGTTTACTTGCCCAAGTTTCACATTCATCTATGCCTCTACTTCGAACCCTACCCACACTCTCCAATTGTGCTTCTAACGATGTCATCTTCACCTTTTCCAACAGCTTCGGGTATGTGTTACATCCTACTCCTTTTGCTGTGATAGCAGCTCTCTCGTTTGATGCCCGGTCAACCTCTGCAATCATTGTGGGGCTCGTCCAGAATTGTGATAACGACGATAACATTATAGGATCGGATGTGGTCGTCATCTTAGGAGGTGTTACATCAACAACCGACAATCCTTTGTCACTAGGTTGACCTTCATCCAGTCGGGACTCCCATATGTTGTCTTTAAACATTCTTGCCAATTCCTGTTTGAATTGGTCGAAACATCTGTCATCGGGAAAACGTTCGACATATGCTTGCAGCAACATGTCTGTTTCCGTCCTTGAAGAACGGAGATCCGAGATTTGCTCACCCATCATTATGATGCATTCCTACAAACCCATGCACAAATTGTAAAGCAAGAAAAATGTGTAACAATGTTGTATGTGCAAATATAATTAAGTCAATCTTGTGTGTTTGACGATAAAAAAAGACACATCTGTATGTGAAGTGGAAATGATGAAGGAAGGCAGAGAATTGCATAAAACTCGAATTGTGAGTTCTTACGCAGATTGTGAACAAACATTTACAGAGCATATTGACAAAGGTTCACACATTCATACACATATTTTGACCCCCCAAAAAAACAACATTGACATCTGTTAATTTGTGTGCATACATGGACCATGAATGAACCACCGTGAACATCTTTTTCATTTTTTGTAATGTATGTACATTTTTTAAATATATGTTCATACATGGGCCCATATCTGAACACAAATCTACGCACCAACAAATTAACGGATCAGCTGCTACTATGTGATCATAGATGGGCCAAAAACAGCAGCTGACCATAAGGCATTATGCACAATATGAAAGCAGAAGAACATGCGTAAAAAGGAGCACAAACATTGAATCAATTTATTGAAGTTACCTCTTTACTCACACACTGATTTCCTGCTTCTTTAGCCTTGCTAGACTGTGGTATATCCTCTGCTGTGTGRTGATCTACAATTGTTTGATCATTCGCTCCTAGCTCAACGGGTTTAGTACATGTCAATTTTGTGTATCCAAACCCCCCTCTACTAAGCTCCAAGTCTTGTCTTCTCCTTAGAAGATCCAGGGTCCAATTCCTCAGAGGATATGCTTGCTGTTGGTTTTGAATGCCATCACATGTTGTCGATTGGACATATAACATTTGTAAAAAATAAACATAGCAGTTGATTGAATAATAACAAACAAGAATTGATTTACATATTGTCAAGGATTAACGTTCTTACCATTAAACATGTTAGGGGGCTTGCGTAAAATGACAGAAAACTGTCTCTTTTCCAACACAGCTTGCTCGTACCTATGCAATCATACACGTACTTGCACCAGTCAATTCTTGGGATCATGTCTAAGCTATGAACGCGGCTGAGGAACCCCAAATTGCAAACACCGACTCTGC